TTAATGGAAATACAAAAACTAAAAACTATAACCTTGAGAGATGTATATTTATCAGAACCAGCCAATACTGACTTGTAACTGCATTTGTAGTTTGTACATTTGCTGTCTTCCCCATTAAACCGTGAGCTCTCTGAGAGGAGAAATTTGGGGGAGAGGGGAGAGGCTTCCTCTCTGTATCTCTAGTACTTAGCATATTGTCTGATATATAGTAAGCACTTAATAAAGCTATCTGATTGTGTAAAACTGTATAGTTCTTTGCTCTAGGACAAAAAAAATTAAAAGTCATAAGGAATAACTCTCAAATAAATTTTTCTTTAGGAAAAGTGATCTAGCATTAACACTGGCAAAAAGGCAGTGAGAAAAATCCACTCTCACTTAGAGTAGGAGTTGTCTGACATAGAGCTGAACTTGACCTTTTCTGTATGAACGTGCAAGATGCAAGGCTTTGTTCCGATGCTGCTCTCAGCAGCCACTGCCCATGGTCATGAAGGTCTCACCAGATTTCTCAATAACCCCCTAGCAACTCTCTCAGTCAGTCAGGTTGGGAGAAACTGGCTCTCAGGTGGTTCTCTTCTGAAAGTTGGACCACAAAAATGTCCAAGCCTTGGTTGCTATGACTGTGGCATAAATGGAAGGCAGCTCCTGCAGATTTTGTTAATCCTTAAAACCTTACATTTGGCAGTAGCTAAGAGTGTCAAAAGTTATGGAGAGGTCAAGGAGGATAAGGATCAAGCAAAGGTCACCGGATTTGTCGATTAACACTAGTAACCCTGGGGAAAAACAACTTTGGTCAAGGGGTATGGCCAGAAGACAAGTAGGAGCTGAGAAATGAGTGGGAGGGCAAAGGCACTGAGGACAGATGCATTTTTCTAGGAGTATAGTTATGAAAAGGAAGAGAGGCATAGAAATATAGTAACAACAGGGTGGGATCAAGTGACAGCTTTTTAAGGACCTACATTTTGACCCTCCTCCACCTCTTACCTGAACTTGGACTCTGCCCCTAGGACCCTGCGCTTATAATGGGCTATCACCTTGTCTCACTCAGAATTAGACCATCCAGACACTTCCCAACCATTATCTCCAGTCCCAGACACCCGCACATCTACCATTGCCCTCCCATTCTTTCTAGCCTCTCGTTATGTATATGTGTTCTTCCCTTATTAGAATGTAAATTCTTTCAGGGCAGGAAATGTTTGCTTGTGTTTGTATCTCCAGTGCTAATGTGCATTCATTTATCCATCCATCCATATTTGAAGGCAATGAGAAAGGATCCAACAAATAAGGATGAGCTGAAGATCAGAGGGAAAGAATAATCAAAGAATGGGATGAAGGGAACAAAGAGAGGGATTGGTCTCAGGAAGGAGAATGGTCTCCTCTTCCATTAAATAGTGGTGCAACCTTGGACAAATTATTTCCTTTTCCAGGCCACAGTTCCCTCATCTGTAAAATCAAGAGGCTGGACTAGTTATTCTCTAAGGTGCCTGCCAGCTATAAAACTATATGATTCTATGAATGAAGTTTGAAGTTTGCTGAAACGATCATGAAATGTTCCCAGAATAGTAATAAAGAGGCTTTTCATATACTGAAAGCTAAAAAACACTGCTTATACAAAGGCAAAATCTGCTTAGAGTATAGTTCCTTCATTTCTTTCTCAGTGAAGAGGTTAGGTGAGGGCCTGGATAAAATTCTAACTGGGAACATCTCTTCAAATTTATCTTATAAAAACAGCTAGAAATTTTTTCAAGCCATCTCACATCAGATTTTCTAAAGATACATCAGTGTCTGCTTCTCTCCTCTACTAGTCACTACTGGTTTGGCTCTCACCAAATCTCTCTTCTTTACTCTGTAATCTAGTTTTGATGGGGTTTTTTGGTTTTGTTTCTTTTTTTTCCATGCAAATCATATTTCCATATTACTCATGTTGCAAAAAAAAAATGATGTGAAAAAAGTATGCTTTAATCTGCACTCAGAATTCATCAGTTCTCTCTCTGGAGGTCAATAGCCTTTTTCATCATGGGTCCTTTGGAATTGTCTTTGATCACTGTATTAATCAGAGTAGTTAAATCTTTCATAGTTAATCATCGTGTACTATGTTCTCCTGGTTCTACTCACTTCACTTTGAATCAATTCATATACGTTTTCCCAGGTTTTTCTGAAACCAACTCCCTCGTCATTTCTTTTAGTTCAGTAGTATTCCATCACAATCGTATCCCACAACTTGTTCAGCCATTCTCTAATTGATGGGCATCCTTTCAATTTGTTAGTTTTTTTTTAACCGTCTAAATATTATTGTGTTTTGAGAGGCAAGATGGCACAGTGGATAGAGAGCTGTCCTCAGAGCCAAGAAGACCTGGGTTAAGTCCTACCTTAACACATGCTGGCTGTGTGACCCTAAGCAAGTCACAGAAGTCTCTAAGACTAATTTAAAGGGAAATTTCTGCCCTGAATTTGTAGACAGTGTCTTCATCTGGGAGTTCCCTATGCTAATGAAATCACAGATCCTGTACTTGTTCCCAAAAAATTTTTGTAACACTCATGCTAGGACTGTTAGTTCTGTGTTTCTTTTATCCAGGCTACCTATGGACCATTGCAGAGGTCTGGAATCACTCTGGAGTAGGGATCATTCTAGCGGAATACATTTTAGAAGTCGACTTTGACTTGCAAGTTTTACCCATTCTTACAAAATAAAGATGAAGCCATGTCCCAGTTACCAATGATAAATGAAAAAAGAACTAAACTCATGATAGTAAAAAAAAAAAAAAAAACCCTTGAAAACTGAATACTGCTAATGAGGCCGATGAGATGAACAAATGGTACGAAAACCCTTTTGCAGGTTAATGGTTTCAATGCAAAAAAAGGAGCCGACAAACAACTTTAGTTGACTTTTGGAATCGCTCAACTATTCATTCCAGCTCACTCAGCATTCACATTAAATCCATCTAATTTAAATTATGGTGTACTGTTCTAGCCTAGTCATTTAAGGCTGTGATTCCTTCTAACATTCCCATGAAGCCAGTTAATATCATCCCTGTTTTAATAGCAGTACCCTTATCTTACATGACCATCTTTGAAGACAACTGCCTGGAATCGGGCAATGAGATTCTACAGCCACATAACAGGGCAATGTTAATTGACCCATAAGGAAATTAACTCAAATCAGTGGCAATATGGGGCATAAAATTCCTCCTGGTCTGGTGGCCATGTGTGTCCTTGTAAATAAATGTATACTTGTAGTAAAATGGCGGTTATATAATTGGCAGGAGGTTATACATGTGGTGGAACAGCAAATTTTTTTTTTATTAAACTGTTTGGTTAAAAGCCTTGCATGTTTACTGTTAAAGGCATGTTACCACTTGTATATCATTTATAATACTGGTAATATACTACTGCAAAAACACCCTCCCCAAAATTTCAACAAGCATTTCCATACTTAAATGTTATTCTAGCCGAGCCCCAATTTCAATACTAAGGGATCAGGGCAGTTCAAACAAATTTATTCATTTGGAAGACATTTATTAAGTGCTTACTTTATGTGAAGTACTGTACAAAACACAAGAACAACAGAATTCAATGATATTCCCTGCCCCCCTCCACTAGTGTCTGATGTAATGAGAAAGATTGTTTATGGATAGTAAGTGACAAAAATTTCTTCTCCCTTCTTCCTTATACTCATCCCAATCTAGGTTCCTCACTGCCACATTCATTAAGTCTTTTCGTTTTCAAATATCCTTCCGTCATACTTCCCGGAAGCCTTGAGTATCTGAAAGACTTATGTCCAAGGTCACAGAAAAAACCAGAGGCAGAATTGGCTGTAGAATCCAGGTCCTCAAACGCACAAGAAATTGTACCAGCCAAATGATATTTCACTGCTGCCAACATTCAATCGACAAAATGATTTGCCATTTTAAGATATTCAAAAGAATAATTTTTTAAAAAATTTTTAAAGAATTTGCTGCAATTTTGAAAATGTCTTGAACAATAGCAGAATCACTGAAAAAATTATCTATCCTTGCAAGGTGACTTATAGAGAAGGGAGACATTCTAATTCTCTTAGGTTTACTGGGGGAAGAAGCTGCCTAATTACTTTATAATCACAACTCATAAGATGGAAATAAACAATAGCATAATTAAAACACACAAATGATTTCCCTGATTCATTTTTTTTAAATTAGTGAAATGGAACAGACAGTTTAAATGGAACAAGCCCTATATAATGAGTTGATACTTATAAAGCATTTTATGGATTACAAAGCATTTAACACACATATTTCATCTGAGCCTCACAAAAACTCCATGAAGTTATCATACCATTTTTCAGATGGGGAAATTGAGGCTCAGGGAGTTTAAATGATTTGCCCAGAGTTATACAGCTAGTGCAAGCCAGAATTTGAACTTAGGTCTTCCTGATTCAAAGTACAGTGATCGACTGACTTCTTTGCCTCTAATTCTCCCCTTGATGCCTTTTTTTTAAGAATATGTAAAGAACCAGATAATGTTAAAACCTAAGTAAGTTGACAAAATTAAAACTTTCAATCTGATACTCAATCTGAATATAGCTATTTATGAAAGAAGGGATACTAACAGAAAATATTTAAACAACTACATGAAATTATTAGGCTTAATCAACTTATTTTGCTTTCTGTGTAGTCTTAAGAAAAACAAGGCAGAAAGTAAAAGATGTGTATTCTGAATCCTACACCAGACTTTTGGGGCCTAAGTACTTACCGTTTCCCCAAGATTTCCAGGGCTTAAGAACGAGAAATAAAATGGGTATCAAGATATTAAATTGCTACTAAAAATGCACTGAAAGAAATTAAAATAGTTGAGAGCTAACGCATATTGCTAAATTGTCTTATCTGATTTTTTTATAGATTTCATTCTTAAGCCCAAGAGTACTAATCCAAGTACAAATTGAATTGTTGGATCTGTTTTCTGTGACCTTCAAAATACTTATTAAATAAATTAAGAAAGTAAAATAAATGAAAAAAATGACCCCTAACCTTGCAGTTTCTGGTTTTCCTTCTCCATCCTGAGCAGCAGAATCTGCTGTAGAATTGCCTTCTTCCATAGCTCCCGGAGTTCTCGGGATGTTCGTTTCTTCTCCTCTACTACAGGGCCAAAGGGACCATCCTCACAAACTGGCTCCAATGGTGAACGAGGGGGAAGATCCCCCAGTTCTGAATAATCTGGAAAAGAAAAAAAGAAGATGGGAGACTTTTGTTCTTTAAAATACATCCTTAAGCATAGTATCGAATCATCACAGAATCTAAGAGTAGGGCAGCATGGAAGGGATGGTAGAGGCCATCTAGTTCAACCCATACCTGATCAAAAATATCCCCCACAACAACACCAACAAATGACCATCCAGCCTCTTCTTGAAGGCCTCCAGCGAAGGAGATCCTACTACCACATGAAGCAGTCAAATTCTATACATACTGATATCTTATACATGATGCCACTATTATATTTTTCAAATCTCATTTACTATGCAGGTTCTACATATTATAATAGATTACGCTTAAAAGGTCACACTCCTAAAACTGCGATTTATACATAAAATGGCGTGCAAGGAAAATTTTAGGGTCTAATAAAAATGCAAATAGCCCTGGGAAGCTGTTGTGTCATTACTCATAGCCCTATAGCATCACCAGAAGAATACTCAAATGAATCTGTGATCATATCCATGTGAATATTCTCTCCAGTGCTGCAGATTCATTAACCATCCTTGCCAGCCCCCTTCACATTCCCCCCAACACTGCCATCTGAGTCTCGTCCACGTCCTCCTATACTTCTCCTATACTGACTCTTGTCCATGTCCACACAGGAGGGGCGTACCTGATGTGCTGAAGGTCTTCCTCAATTTCTCCTGATATACTAAAGAGGACAGTGAAGCACACAGGTGATCAGTTATTACTCACACCCAACACCAGAATAATACAGTTGTTCTAAACATGGCCCTATGTTTCAGGCATAATCTTGGGTTATTAAAAGCAATGCCTGGATGGAGCCAAGATGGTGGAGAAAGGACAGGGACTCAACTGAGCTCTCCCCAGTTTCCCTCCAAACAACTTTAAAACGACGCCTCAAAACGAATTCTAGAATGGCAGACCCAACAAAAGAACAGGGTGAAACAATTATCTACTACAACTTAGAAGGCAGGCAAGAACTGACCAAGCAATTCACAAAGGAACAACCAAGTGGGGTTTTATATTTGATCCTGAAAATGAGACGGAGCTACCAGAGTTTGTTAAATAGAAGGGAGGTGATGTGGTCAGACCTGCACTTTACAAATATCATTTTGACAGCTGAATACAGGATGAGCAGGAGTCTGGAGACATTTGAGGCAGGGACAACCAATCAGAAGAATATTTCAGTAGTCTAAGAGTGAGGTGATAAAGGCCCACATTAGCATAGTGTCAACATCAAAGGAGAAAAGCAGATGAATACAAGAGATGTTATGAAAGCAAAAGTGATAAGCCTTGGCAACAGATTAGATTATAAAGTGAGGGGTGTGAGAGTGGGGGATTAAAGATGACACCTAGGTTGTAAATTTTGGTGATTGTGAGGATAGTGGTATCCTCAACAGTAATAGGAAAGAGGAAGAGGGGAGGATTTGGGGAGAAAGATAATGAGTTCAGTTTGGGACATGTCGAGTTTAAGATGTCTCTGTACATGGCAGCCAGTGTGAAATGTCTAACAGGAAGTGGGAGATGCAAGACTGAAGGTTAGGAGAGATGTCTCAGTGAAATATATTTGAGAATCATCAGCACAGAGATAATAACTGAATCCACGGGAGCTCATGAGATCACCAGGTAAAATAGTATTGAAGGAGAAAAGGGCCCAGAACAAAGCCTGTTGGACACTCACCATTAATGGGCCTGACCTGGATGAAGATCCAACAAAAGAGACTGAGAGTGGTCAGATAGGTAGGAGGAGGACCAGGATAAAATAAAGCCCCCAAAACCAAGAAGATAACATCAAGGAAAAGAGGGTGATCAACAGTCTCAAAGGCTGCAGAAAAGCCAATAAAAAGATAAGGATTGAGAAAAGGCCATTAGGTTCGACAAATAAGGGAACACTGGTAACTTTGCAGAGAGCCGTTTTGGTGGAATGATGGGTTCAGAAACCAGACTGTAGAGAGTTAAGAAGGGATTTGAGAGGAAAAGAAGTCTGCAGACAGACTTCTTAAGGAGCTTAGACCCTATAAGAAGGAGAGATCTGGGATGTTAGCATAGATAGATGGAGGAAGCATGAGCACATTTGTAGGGAGGAAGGAAGCAGCCAGTAGGCAGGGAGAGATTGGAGATAACAAGTGAGAGAGTGTGGGGATGACAGAGGGGGCAATCTGTTGGAAAAGAAGGGATGGAATGCGATCAGCAATCATTACCAATTACATAAAGTAAGTCTTGTTTGTTTGTTTTGTTGAACTTTAATGGAATAAGGTTCCAGAACATATAGGAGCTTTTATATGACACCCTCCTTTAGAGTGGGACATTTCAGCTTTTTTACACTTATCTTAGCATTTCACTTTTTCCCCCCATCTTGGCCATTGGAAACTCTGCTGGACACAGTACAGATCTGACTAACGTGCTGCTTTATCTCATACTGGAAGTATTTACACTCCCACCAGTTTGCAAGAGATTCTAATTTCAACAAAGTAATTTTTGTAAGATGTCCTGGTACATTTGGCAGACATTCCAGAACACTGGCTGTTGGTTTATTATTCAGAGTAACATTTTAACATGCTTTCATGTTTGTGCAAGGAGAACTTGGGAATTGATCCAGCTAATGTAGATAACCCAGTTTAAGCCTTGCGACAGCTAGATGAAGTTGACTTTAAGAGCTACTCTCATGCAATGACTCCTAATAAAATGTGGGTGCACCTCACTCTTCTTATTTCTCTCTTCCATGTAGGGTATTCCATCTTTCTGTTTTAACAACTATTTCTCCTACTTAGTGTCACATATGTGTCTGTTGGTCTCTGTTACTTTCAGATTTGGGAGACTAATAAACAAAACAGCTACAACAGACATGATTCTAGGTGTGAAAGTAGTTGGGTTATTAGATACATTCACCTTTTTGTCATCTCTACTGAGACTACTGGCTAGACTGCTAAAACAAACTCCAATTTATGGTAAATAGAATACTCACAAAAGAGCTATCTAAATGCTATGGCTTCTCCCAACATTGTTCCTGTGGATGGAAATAAATCCTAAAGCACTTACCCTACAAAGTTGTTCTGAGGATCAAATCAGAATGTAAAGCACTTTGCAAACTTTAAATATCAGTTAGTATCATAATTATGATGGTGGTTGTTTTTCTTTGGTGAAAACAGCATGGTGATTTAGAAGAAGGGAATCTTACTGCCTTCCTTTTTCACTGCAAACTCTCCCTGCAGCCTTCTCTACCTGTCAACACCTGTCCTTTCCCTTTCCTTCTGTTACAATCTCTCCTCCCTTGGATCAAACAAGATCAAAATGAAAACGTTGACCATGCCTAACATTAGCTTTTCCCCAACTACAAAGGACTGCCTTATTTTGATCAAGTTAACCTAGCCAAACCCGGGCCATAAAGAAAATTATGGCTAACAGCACTTTTTTCTAAGCCAACTTAAGTCAATGATGTAAAATATCACCCATTGTTAAGAGTGGCAGGTAAATTATTAATCATAAACTGAGAAATAACGAAGAAAAGAAGGAATAAGCATTTATTAGGCCTTTACTACTTTGTGTCCCAATTATTCTATGAAAAGGTAATGAAGAAAAAATCCTATCACCCCCACACACTCAAAAAATAAAATAGGGAATTTTATGGGGCAGCAATTATTGGTTGCAATGATACTCCTAGTGATAATGATTTAGCTCACACTTTCTCTCTTAAAATAACTTTATATTTATTTATTTGAGTGCTAGGTATTGTATCCCTTCAGAAGAAGGTAAATTTGACAGTGTGGGATAAAGAACCTCTCTCTTTTTTTTTTTAGAAATATAAAGAAATCATTTTAAAAGTATTCTGGTCTGACATCTTTTAACCTGAATGAGAAATCTTTATGAGTCTCTATTTAGCTATCAATTCCTTAACAATCCCCTATTCTTCTCTCACAGATGAAGGATTCCTTCCTTGAAAAAAGAGTGATGATCTGACCAGGGCAAGGACAAGGGGCCCTTGATTGATCCACCTGAAGGGATTAAGGCATTGATCAGAGGGAGGAAGTCTCTTTCATAACTTCAGGATGGTAGAAGAAGAATCCTTGAAAGGAGTGGTCACCAGAAGATTGAGTAGTTTTAGAAAACTCTGAAGGCTGCCTGAAAAATTAAGTGACTACAGAGCTACCTGATGAAGCAAAATGTTAACCCTGAACTGTACAACTATGTTGTCTCATATTGTTCGTTCAGAATTATCGTGTGTTAAGAATGAGGGGACCTGCCAGTCTGTACATTTCTCTCTCAAGTAGAACAATACTTTAAATTAGAAAAATGACAAATTAATTTTTAAAATGTTTCTGGGAAGACTTGTGTCTACAATGCAAGGTACAATATTAATATTTTTTTCTTCAAAGGCTATTTGTTTCCTTATGTCTTTATATCTCAGTGCCTATTTTCAGATCTGTGCACATCATAAACACTTAAGAATTTGTCAAATTTAACTGAAAGATGCTAATGTATACATTTTTCATTGATTTTATTAATAACTCTTCTGTTGTATAACAGTATTGCTGGCCATGTTTCCTCCGTATTTGTAATATCTCACCACCAAGTGGGAGAAATAAATCCGGAATAAGATACATGATTTTACTAACCCTCTAGATTTTTGGCTATGCTTTTTTCCCCCCACTGGTACAATACGTGACTGAGAAGAATGCGATGATCTCCAGTGGAGGGTGCACAGGACAAAAAAGTTGGAGAATAACTTAAAACTTAGATCTAATTTTGTGTCTGTTTATCTGTGTCTATGTGTTATACACGGAATTTACTTTTTTACCTAGACCTGTAATTTCAATGACATAAGGAGTTATCACTGAAGAACTTTGTCTACCAGTGCAATGTGGCATCTTCTTGAAATTTAGAATATTATGGAGTTGCCTAGAACAGTGAGAAGTTAAGTAACATGCCCAGGGTCCCACTGCCATTACAGGTCTGAAGTAGGATTTGAATCCAGATCCCTCTGGCTTTCAAACCAATTCTCT